CAGGAAGACTCATCTTCCTGAATTCAAATCTGGCCTTAGATACTTACTACCTGGGTGACCCTGGGCAAGTCACCTCTGTTTCCTCATCTGTAAAATGAGCTGGAGAAGGAAAGGGCAAACCACTCCATATCTTTGCCAAGAAAACCCCAAATGGGGCCATGAAGAGTTGGACATGACTGAAACTACTTAAAGACAACAAAAGGCGGGGGGGGGGGGGGGGGGGGGAGGGGTGGCATGAAGCATTGAGTATCCAGTTGGGATTAGGTAACAAACATTTGTAGTGAGCCCACTGAGCACAGCTGTGTGAAATCCATTACTTCCACACCTTGGTAGAAGCACTGGAGCAGGAGCAGACAAAGCAGATAGGAAGAATCCCAGTTTGCAGCTTGGAAAGGGCTGAGCAGAGATAAGACAGTAGGACAAGGTATTTGAGGATCTATAATAGTATAAAATTGAGCTGATTGACCAACAAATGGGTCCGAATTTTGAAGGGAAGAAAATGAAGAGACAGCAGGAATGCTAGTCCAGAAAACACAAAGGAATGGAGTGTCTAGATATTGCGGTGAGGACAGAGAATAGGTTTGGGAAGAATTAAACACAGAAAGAGATAGCAGGACAAGAAGTTCTAGTTAGAGAAAGGAATTTCAGAGTGATAGATGGTAGCAGTAAGAAAAGCCTCAAACTCATGACATATGAGGATCGGCTGAAGAGCCTGGGGATGGGCAGTTCAGAGAAGAGAGGAAAGACTAGGGAATGTGATTGCTGGGTTCAAGTATCTGAAGGATTGTTTCATGGAAGAGGGATTGGATTTGTTCTTTGTGACCCTTGGGGAAGTGAGTTGGCACAGTGGAGAGAGTGCTGGGCCAGGAGTCAGGAAGACTCCTTTTCCTGAATTAAAATCTGGCCTCAGACACTAGCTGTGTGACCTTGGCCAAGTCCTTGACCTTGTTGACCTCCGTTTCCTCATCCATAAAATGAGCTAGAGAAGGAAATAGCAAACCACTCTACCAGGATGACCCCATATTGAGTCACAAAAAGTCAGACACAACTCAACAACAAAAACATTTGGCCCCAGAGGGCAGAACTCTGAGCAATGGGTGGAAATGGCAAAAGAGACAGATTTAGACTTGGTATAAAAACTTCCCAACAATTGGAATGATCCCAAAGTGGAATAAGATGCTTCTGAAAGAAGTTTCCCTCCTTACAGTTCTTCCAGTAAAGTGTTAGATGATCACAAATTGAATGTGTTATAAAAAGGATTCTTGCTCAGTGATGGGGTGGAATAGTTGGCCTCTAAGCCCCTTTCATATTCTGAGATTCTGTCATCCCATGACTTCAAATAACAAAGTTCTCTCCACTATTTGTACTCAGAAAGATCTTTTCATTAGTGGCTATAAACTGGATCCATTCACATTCTTTCTGACGGCCACTCTCTGCCATCCTTCTTGTGACTTCTGTATGTCCTTCTCTGACACATGAAGCTGGCAATATATAAATAAAACAGAATTCAAATCAGATGTGATGTCATGAGTGGCCTTTTCTGTTAGGGCTTTAATCACCTGTGATTAAAATTTTGAGCTTTTCTGCAGGAGTTTGGAGGGGGTACCTTGTTACTGCTATTAAGGCTTGATTTAAGGATTAAATATACCCCTCATCCTGCCCCACTACCCGTGTTACTGGAACTCTAGACTCACCCATGCCCTCCACATTTTTCCAAACTCAGACCCAAATCCCACTGAAATAGCAGCAGCTGGACTTCGGAGAGCCATGGGTTAAGCTTAAGGGTGGTGAACGCATCCTCCACCCCCAGACAGGGAGGGACCGGGAAAAACAATCAGGTAGATGCACCTGACAAGTTACAGGCAGCTTTCACTCCGAGCTTTGGGCATTGCGGCGAACACTTGAGGAACGAGGGCCACGCGGTTACCCTCCTCTCAACCATCGGGGCTGTAGATCTCTGCGTCCGATGACCCCACGCAGGCTGAAAGAGAGAGAGATCGCTGGGACTTCCCCTTCTTCCCCTGGCCAGCTGACGGCGAGGGAGGAAGTGGGACTGGAGAGGCTGGGAAGCTCCCAGTTCTCTGTTTCCCATTTCTCCACCTCAAGATCGGAGAGGAGGAAAGAACACTGGAAACTCTGAGCAGGACAGCTCCTCTCCCCCGGGCCCCCATCCCTGGCCACAGGAACTTCCAGCTCCCAGCCCGCCGAAAAGATTGGGTCTGAGGACTCGGAGTTTGGCTCCCGGGGAAGGGGGAGCGAAAGAAGGATGGGGGCTCCTCTGGGCCACAAACCCAGAATGCGGGAATTGCGTCACGGTTCAAGTCCCCTAGGCAGCTCTCTAATTGGGGGTTCTCAAAGAGGACGAAAGGAGAGGGTTTTGTGTTTGCTTCCCCTATATGTGTATTTGCATGTAAAAACTTGGTCCTTTCTGTCATTCAAATCAGAATTTAAGAGTCGACAGATTTGGGTGTGTATCTAAGGTTCTTTATAAACCACCTGTGTGACTTTGGGCAAATTGCATAACCTCGCTGAACTTCCCTCTCCTCATTTGAAAAAAACGTAGGAGTTGGACTAGATGACCTCCGAACTCCCTTCCAGCACTAATTCTGTGATGCTGGGTATATATCTAGGTCTAGTGTTCTATGTATCTGTTGTTTATAACAAACAGAGATTTTCTTTTTGTAGGGGTGCAGGCACATCTGTGCATCAAAGCACTGTGGGATTGTGGCTGAGCTCAAGTGTATTTTATCTTTTTTGTCTGGGTCTGTGTGTGCCCATGTGTGAAAACGTGTGTATATAGCCATTTGTCTCTCTTTATACACAGGTACATGTGTATAGCTCTGCATTTATGTATAATCCTAGCTGTCTATAAGACTATCTATATTATATGAGATAGGGAATGAGATAAGCACTTGGTTGGGTGGTTATCACCAGTCTAGGGAACTCCCTGGTAAAGAAACTCCCTCTGCCAATGAAGGTTGGCACCTTCTCTGCAATGTAGAGTTTTAGAAAGTTTACTAAAGCAATGTTGTCAAATGCAAATAGAAAAGGGGAAGTAGGGGGCACTAATTGAATCCCTGCAAGCCACGTACTGACTTAATTGTAAAATGTAATGTTATATATGTAACCACCTGAATATTTTATGTAATATATTATTGTATTTTTATTTATTTTGTCAAGTATTTCCAATTACATTTTAATCTGGTTCAAACCAGATTCAGGAATGTTGTGGGAGTCCTTGAGCCTGTACGAGTGACTCCCCAGGCCTAGGGCATTGACAGTATAAGTGAAATATCCATGGTCACACAGCCAATATGTGAAAGAAGCAGGTCTTCTGGTTTCCAGGGCAAATTTCTATTCATTGCACCATGTTGGTTTTGGTGGTATAATGTAGATAAAGCACTTTCAAATCCTTAAAGCACCATATAAATGTGAGTTATTATTATTATTATAGCTCTGTCCATCTGCATGTCATTTATATACACGCACATATGTAATGAACTATAGAAGATGACAGAATCAATGAATGTCAGCTCTTTAACCACCTTAGAGAACATCTAATCTATGATAGGATGGGTTTGAAGTATGGGAAATTTTTTAAAGTGCTTTTGGTAGGTAAGCCAAGAATCCCAGGAGGCAAAGAGCTGTGTGAAGACAGTATCCCTACAGCTAGCCACAGTCATTTATCATTCTTTTCATTCCAGTTTTAAAATATTAAAAGTGGCAAATTTAATATCTATAATACGTATGTGAGAGAGAGAGAGAGAGAGAGAGAGAGAGAGAGAGAGAGAGAAATCTAGCCCTTAAATGTGTTTATGATCACAGAGCAGTTATTGGATAAAGAAGAATAGGGTAAAAGGGAGACCAAAATGTGAAAGAGTTGCTGAGTGTGCACAATGCAGGTGCTAAATGCTGACAGAGGGTAAAGAAGGCAGGCCCTCCTTGGTGTCCATCTTATGCTGGGTTCTAGGGTCAGGTAGCTGTAGCTGTCCGGAAAGGCTGTAGGCCATGGGAATCAATGCTGGTCACCAGAGTGATTTAAGCATTTTCTGAATCATGAGGCCAAGCCATGGCAAATGTAAATATCTGAGTACTATAATTCTACATGGGAACAGAGAGCTCAGGAAGATACCAAGTGAATTGAAATCTGATTGTGAGTTTGATTGGTGGCAACTGGAAATTGTATGAGAGTAGGAATCTGGAATGTATAGTCTTGGGAAAAAGGGACTGTCTCTCCAGCATTTCAAACTACTTCCTTCTCTCCTCCTCCCATGGAATGCCATATAGGAATTAGCTGTCAAATAGTTAAACTCACAGACTCAGAGCCAAAGGAACTTTAGAGATTATTCTATCACAGGGTCCTTAACCTTTTTGCGTATTGTGGATTCCCTTGGCAATCTGGTGAAGCCTATGCACCCCTTCTCAATAATTCTTACTGCCTACATTTGTAATTGAAAGAAATGTTGCATTTGTTCTCATCTAAGTCCACAGATCTCCTGAAATCTATCCATGGACCCCTTAAGCATCAGTGGATCCTAGCTTAACAACCCCTAATCTAGTCAAACCCCTCATCTTCCAGCTTAGGAAACTGAAGTGCAAAAAGCATAGTTTCTCTTCCATTCCCATGTAACATGATCTAAAGATTTGTTTCTCCCTCGCTGGTCTTTTCCCTGTGGTCTGTGCCTAATTCCTCACATGAATATGTGCCTAATAACATGCATATTATATCTATATAAATTACCAAAATCATATCTCTTTTCTTCCTTTTCCCCCACCCAAAGGTCAGAGAGTAATTTCCTCTTGGTAGGCTACCTGGGACTCAAGCCTGCTTTCTGTTTGCATTATTGATACAAACAAAAAAGGAACTGCTTGAAATCCCCGAGGTTCTTCAGTATTTTTTTCTGTGTTGCAATTTGGAAGCTTAGTTTCATAGAAAGTTGCTGGGGTATATATACAGCTGGCATGGGTGCTAGAATTGTATAATAGCTGCAACTGAAGCCTCAGCACCTCCAGGACCTACAGAGCCAGAAAGGTGAGTAATCCTTGAGCTAAAACCAATATGAATTTTTAATTGTTGTTGTTATGATATATATTACATATATATGGAGAGAGGTTATTTGTATGTGTTTATATATTTTACAGTATTCTGTAAAAGGTTTATTATATTCAAAGATAAAGGAAGAGGGTTTGTTTAAATCATTTTTACTTAGGACAGCTTGAACAAGACTTGGTGCGTTTGTTTTAGTTGCTAAATCTCATCTTCCATATCTTCTAAATCTCATTTTCTACATTCTCTTAACTCAAGCAAAGACTGAGAGAGATCTGCTTTATACTATATATTACCTTCATTGTGATCTATTTTCCTAGTATTTTAATTAATTTAAATCCTGAGGCATTTCCTATTATCAGCACTAATGTAATAATAATGTGACACCCCATCACCACCCAAGGTCTTTCATCCTATTTTAATCAGCTTATTGATAATGAAGAGGTCTTTTGATAACCTTTTAAAGTTTTTATTTTTCTCATTGTCAAAGAGGGCATGTCTCTAAATCACAAGTGAATCTACCAGAAACCCACTGATCCAGAGTTTCTGGCTGCCTAGATTGTGAGAGAAATCAGATTGGATATTATATTATCGGATAACATGGTCAACTTTACTTTGGGTGTAAGGATATTTTTTAATGATATTAAATTATTTTCTTTTTAAATTTATGGAAATTTAAAAGAAAAAAGCTATACATTTTCTTAAAATGTCTTACATTTGTCACATTATACCTGTTCTGGTGAAAGTCTGTTTCCACCACTATCCTAAACTTGACACAGAACAAAAAGATAATCAAATCCCACATATTGGCTCCCTTATTTCAAACCAATTGCTTGAAAACTACTATTACTACTACTACTACTACTACTACTACTACTACTACTACTACTACTACTGCTACTACTACTACTATCACCACCACTATCACCACCATTACTACTACTACTGCTACTATTACTACCACCACTACTACTAATAATAATAATAGTAGCAGTAGTAGTAGTAGTAGTAATAATAATACAAAGAATTTAGGCAGTCCTTTGGAAGAATTTTTTAAATTAGAATTTGACCTTTAATCCTTTTTTTCTTTAATCCTTCCTTAGAAAGAAAGCACATTAATGAAGTTTGCAAAGCACTTCATAAATATAATACCTGGCTTATCAATACAATTTTATTATTCCTTTTGTTTCTTATGATTAACATTGTTGAGCCAAAGTAACAAATAACAGCTAGAAAAGTGAAAGAAGAGATGGCGTATTTGAGGTTGGAACACCATGGGGCAGCCTTTCCTATTTATCACAAAACAGCATCTCAGAGTTGGAGCGGATCTCAGTGGCAATTTAGCTCACCACGTGCCTGAACAAGAATCCTCTCTGTCAGACTTGGCAAGCAGTTGTCCAAGCTTTGCTCAAAGACCGCCAAAGGGAGAGATATCTCTACCCACCATTTTGTTGGGAGGCCTAAATTTCCCTCTTTGCAGTTCTGTCCTCTGAGACCAAACAAAACAAATCTAATTCCTTTTCCATGTGACAGCCATTCAAATACTTAGAGGCAGCTGTTATGTTAACCGACCCTACCCCAAATCTTCTCTAGTCTAAAAATCTCTAGTACGTCTAACTCATCCCCTTCTGGCATGAACTTTGAGGTCCTTCCCTTTCTTGGCTGCCTTCCCTCCACTTTCTTCACGTCAGAAGAACTGAACGCAGTACTCCATAGGATCTGCCTCTCTTCTTTCAGCAGAAGGCTTTATTAGTTCATAACTGAGCCCCCTGTGACCTTGTCCGACTTCTTATACCTTACTCCCCACCACATGCTCTACAGTCTAATGACTCTAGCCTCCTTTCTGTTCCACAATCAACATGCTCCAGCTCTCAGCTCCAGTGTTTACTCTGGCTCTTCCCCATTCCCAGAAAGCTTTACCTCCTCATCTCCAGTTATTGCCTTTCCTGGCTTCCTTTAAGTCCCAACTAAAATTCCATCTTCTACAGGAAGCTTTTCCCAACCCCTCTTAATTCTAACATTTTAATTAATTTAAATCCTGAGGCTTTTCCTATTATCAGCACTAATGTAATCTCTAATTTAGAATATGTAAGTTAAATGATTTGCACAGGGTTACACAGCTAGTAAATCTCACAGGCAGGATTTGAACCCAATTTATCTTGATTATAGTTTTTCTTCTCTTAATTACTTCCTGTTTACCTTGAATATAGCTTGTTTGTACATATTTCTTTGCATATTGTCTCCTCCAGAGGGCAAGAAGTATCTTTTTCCTTTCTGTATCTTCAGTGCTTAACATAGTGCCTGGCTCATAGTAGGTGCTTAATAAATGTTTATTGACTGAGTGTTGTTTGCCATACATTGTATCTTCAGTGCTTAACACAGTGCCTGGCACATAGTAGGTGCTTAATAACTATTTATTGATTGAGTCTTGTTTGCCATACCACTCTGTTGATCCATGCTGAGCTTGCAGCTCATTGAAATTCCAAGATATTTTTCAGAAAAACCCTATGTCACTATGTGGCCTTGTGGAAATCATTTCATCAAACTGGCCTTCAGTGTCTTCATTTATCAAATGAGAGAACTGGAATGCTAATACCCTCACTCGACAAAAACATTTTGCCAGAGAAGTTTTTATCAAATGATTTGGGATGTATTATGTTTCTATTTTTAATTTAGTCCCCAGTAACCCTGTTTTATGTGAATTTGCCATGGGGATTTTAGGAATACCTTTAAAATCACATAGGGGCAGTGTGACATATGGAAGTTGTTCTGAATTAGAGTCCTGGGTTCAAATTTTGCCTCAGCTACTTAATATTTTGCTAAAAGAAAGTCATTAGGCCTCTGAGGACCTCAATTTTCTCATCTATAAGACAAAAATAATAACATTTGCAATACCTGCCTCACATTCTAAGAGAAGCACCATGCAAATTACTCCTGCAACTACGACCTTCACTAAATTTTGGGAAACCGATTCCATAATCTTCCTTTCTCTAAATACAGTCAACAAGCATTTATAAAGGGCCTGCTCTGTGCTAATCAGTGCACTAAACACTGGGCACGTTCATTTTGTTCAGATTCCTTTTGCGAGAGGTTGGTGTAATACACTTGAACATGAACATGTAACGTAACATGAGCAATACCATAATAACCTATCTGAACATCAGCACTAGTCTGATGTCATTACAGGGAGGGCGGGGAAAAGATCAAGAGAGTGTGATCTGGTCCCCAAAGATGACTTAATAGCCAGTCTTTTGTCTCTGTCTCTCCCACAGATGTGTCATCAGCAACTGTTCATCTCTTTACTTTCTTTGCTCTTGTTGGCAACTCCTCTCATGGCCATATGGGAATTGGAAAAAAATGGTAGCTATCCTCTTGTTTTCTGTTGAATACATGGACATTTATTAGGAATGTGCCTTAAGTGTTCCTGCTTCTGGTGTTTCTACTGCCCAAGGTAGAAAGGACACTCAAACAGTAAAGTCCCAGTTTGTGTCCATCACAAAGTCACTTCCTTCCTCTTTCATGTATTAAAAAGATCATCTCTTCAAGGTAATGTTGGATGAGACAGATAGATAGATAGATAGACAGACAGACAGACGGACAGACAGACAGACAGACAGACAGACAGACAGACAGACGACAGACAGATAGATAGATAGATAGATAGATAGATAGATAGATAGATAGATAGATAGATGATGGATGGATGGATGGAAGGATGGATGGAAGGATGGATGGATGGATAGATAGATAGATAGATAGATAGATAGATAGATAGATAGATAGATAGATAGATAGATAGATAAGCACTGGGAATACTAGGTTGAGAAAAGAGAAGACAGTCCCTACCCTCAAAGAACTTATATTCTTATTGAAGGAAGATGACCCCATAACAAGGAACTGAAAAGCTGAGATGATATGAAGCAAATATTTCTGTTCAGGATAAGTGTAAAAGTAAGGAACGGAGCCAGGTTAGAATTGAGCATGGATTTTAGGATCTTTCTCAAATAGAGGTTCCGGGCAGGAATTCACCGTCAAAAGAGAGTAGAGGCATCTCTAGAGTGAGAAGCCATCAGTCTTCTTTCCCCTCTTGATGATAACCCATATTTTAATGCCATCACCATCAGTCAAACAAGTTAGCAAGTGGTGGCACCCGACGATATTTAGTCTGGAAATTTTGCTGATGTTACTGAAAAATGTCAAAATTATTTTTTTAAAGAATCATATGGTAATGGGACTAGAACATTCCAAGTCTCTGATCTACTATGTTTCCTGCCCAAAATTCTATTATCATTATAAGTCGTGGCTTGATAATAAACCTGGAAAAGACTCTTCTTTTGGTTATGAAATTTTCTACCAAGAAATTTGGCTCAAACCCATCTATTATCCTAGACTAGATAAAGACTGAGATAAGACAGTGATGGTAAGAGTGAAATTCAATTCAACAACAAACATTTTAGGTGTTCACTATGTATTGTGGCAAGATTCTGAAGGAGATTTTATTTTTTTCTTTGTATCCAAAAACATACCACAATGTCTTGCACGTAGGAACTAAACAGATGTTTGTTGAATAAGTGAATGACCAAATGAATAAAAAGACCAAAAACAAACAAAAAAAAAAAACCAAAACAAAAACCTTCTCTGCCTTCAGGAAGCATGAGTTCTCCTGTATTTAGATCTTTTTTGGTTTATCCTCTAAGTGTCTTTAACTAGAATAATGGTGATGTGAGCTGAAAGGAAGCGAAAGATCTGATATCTTGTAGAGATAGAATAGCAACTGACTGGATATGTGAGAGAAGGAAAAGAGGGTGGGAAAAGTCAAAGATGACTTGGTCCTGGTTGACTGGAAGAATGATGGTGCTAGTCAGGTGGAAAGTTAGATATAAAGGATAGATTGGAACCTGGATGCTGGAAATCACTTAGGAGCCCCATTGTAGCAGTTCAGGTGAGAAGTAATCAGGCATAGAAGTAGAGTGGTTACAGTGTAAATGAAAAGAATAGAGTGGGTATGAGAGACATTGTGGAGAGAAAATTGACAATATCTTCAAGGCTTTTTCTTCAAGCATATGAATTGGATTTTGTGAGAGATGACACAAGCCAGTCATTCTCTATAACATCAAATGATTGAAAAAGCAGGAAATGTTTCAGGTGGATGCATGGAAAAGCTTTTGACTGTCATGAGATTATAACCTCAGGACAGAAATGTATAGAGGCTCCATTGCTAGAAAAGGAATGACACCACAAGATCACTCTGTTTCCTGTGATTTTGCAGTTTATGTCGTGGAGGTAGAATGGCATCCTGATGCTCCAGCTGAAACAGTGGTGCTCACCTGTGATTCATCTGAAGACAAAAACGCCATTACCTGGACCTCAGACAAGAATGGCCAGATTTTAGGAACAGGCAAAACCTTGACTGTCCAAGTGAGGGAGTTTACAGATGCTGGCACCTACATTTGTCAGAAAGGAGGAAAGGTGATGAGTCAAAAGTTATTGTTAATCCGAGTAATGGAAGATGGGATTTGGTCCACTGATATTGTGAAAGACCAGAAAGGTAATTCTTTTCTCTCAAGTGTAGTGTAAAGTACACTTTTAACCTTGGTAGAATTTTTTTAAAAAGGCAAGACACTGTGAGGTTGAATGAATTGACATCAGACTCTTCACTGAGACCACCTAAAAGCTACAAATTCTTTCTGGTGAGGGTGCTCTTTGCGCAACTTTCATCTAATCTTGGTATTGAGATGATCAGAGGTAGTTTATATGCTTCAATAAGGTCTTAAAACACTAACAAAAATTAAGTAATCAAAGGCATCAAATATTAATAATGTATAACTTGTCAGCATAAATCAGTAGAAAGAGTGGTCTTATAGTCAAGACGAGTTGGGTTCAAATCCTGCCTGTGATATTTACTAGCTGTGTAACCTTGTTCAAATCATTTAACTTCTATACGACTCAAGGGACTCCCTAAATTTCTATCAGGCCTTTCCTGGCTTCCCCCAGGCCTTTCCTTGAAAGGTTATCGTGTATCTGCTTTGTATGTGTTTTTTAATTGACCTATATATGTGTATATTTTAACGTCTCTCCCTCCCATATTAGAACATATGCCCTCAATAGGGGCAGGGACTGTTTGGTTTTGACTTTGTACCTTCAAGGTCTAGCAGCCCAGTCCCTGGCACACGGCAGGCACTTACTAAATACTTCTTGATTGATAGATTGATCTACTAAGTCAGAGAGGGTCACTTTGGTACAGGAAGCTCCTCACGGACGACTGCTGGAATGATAGCTTTGAAAGTAAAAACTTTTTTTTAAATGTGTGTGTGTGTGTGTGTGTGTGTGTGTGTGTGTGTGTGTGTGTAAAACATCCCACAGAATCAGCATTCCAATGACTGGCAGTTGAATTTAACTTTGAATGCTTCCAAAATCAATTCAACAAAGTTCATGGAAGTGGCATCATTTTCCCCAGGAAAGCAACTAGGTCCATTTGACATGTGTATTGCTGACTTATAACCTTCAAAAATCTAACTCTTCCCCCCCCAAAAAAAACCCCTTAAACTTTGAATTTTTGTCATCTTTAAATCCAGAACCCAAAACCAAGACCTATCTGAAGTGTGAGGCCAAGAATTATTCTGGGACTTTCACCTGTTCCTGGCTTACAGAAAGCAGTCCTGACTTAAAATTCTCTATTAGAAGCAGCAAAGGGTAAGTAAAATTGTTGGTTTTCTTTACTCCATCATCTTCCCAGGGTCATTTCATTAAGCAATAGAAAATAAAATAACTGTGACTTATCTGCAGTGCTGGGTTTGGAGTGATAGAACCCGAGTTCAAATGACAGTTTTACCCATTACTACTTGTGTGACCTTACACAAGGATTTCATCTCTCTGGGACTCAGTTTCTTCTTCTTCAGTGAAATGAGAGCATTAGACTAGCTGATCTTAAAGTTCTCTTCCAGCTCTAAATCTGTAATCCCATGAGCTACTAAAGAAAAATAAATAAAACTCAGAAAACAGGGTTTCTAAAATCTTCACCATTTTGCTTTTGCTTTGGGAAAAGAGCTTGAAGACTTAAGCCAAGTATCTGTCTACTCGAAGAAGATATTACTATCTATAATTTGGCCGCCCTAAATCATTAGATCACAGATTTAGAACCAGAAGTGACATTCAAGCCGAGTCAGCAAGCATTTATTAAGAGCCTGGTATGTGCCAGGCACTGTGCTAAATTCTAGAGATACAAAGAAAAGCAAAACTCATGATCTAATCTAATCTCTTTCTAGTCCAATCTGTTCATTTTATAGATAAGGACCCAAAATGGGCCACAAAATGTTAAGTGTCTCTTCAGGACAAATAATAGATAAATGATAGAGCCAGACTTTGAACCTAGATCCTCTGACTCCAAATTCAGGCTCTATCTTGGTTCGTAGGCAGACATGAGTCCTACGCAAAAAAGCTCACAGCTGGTCTCTTGAGACATACTCAGTTCAGTAAGACCAGCAGTGCCATGAGGAGTGACAAAAGAAGAAATGGAAGTTAAGGCTGACTTGCACAAAGTTGCAGCTTGAGTCAGTGATTAAGCCAGAAATAGAACCTAGGAGTCCTACATCACTGCTCTGGCTAGTCATACTGAAGGCTTCCAAAACTCTGAAGTCCACCAGAAATTTTCCCTGGACTTACCAGAGTTTCCTCTAAGTGTTAACCAGTTATCATTTTTTCCCAGGGAAAGGCAATGTGGCATAAGGAATAGCATGCTGGTCTTAGAGTCCTAGGTCTGGTTCCCTGGTTCAAGTCCTTCCTTTAACAATTACTAGCTGGGTGACCGAGAACAAGTCACTTAAGCCCTCTGACTCTTAGGGAACTCTGAGACTTATCTATTAAATTAGGTGACAATGATTCCTTGACGTATTGGCAAAGTAACAAGGCAAGGCAACAGAAATGTATTAATGCTTACCATATGCCAGGAACTTTGCTAAATGCTGGGAATAAGCAGAAAGAAATATGCCTGCCCTCAAAGAGTTTATAGTCTAACAAAGGAAGACAAACACAAAAGGGAGCTGAAAAGCGAGGAGGGAGAGGGTAGGGGTGAAGGTAGCTCCTGGGAGCATGTTGTTAAAGTATAGAAAATCGGGAGGAGAATGAAGGTTGGCCAATCTGGGCCCCAGAAGAAGTTCACTAATGGGAGAAAGGGGCTAGTATGAAGGAGGGATGTTTCAGGGTGAGAAGGCTGCTTGCGAGGATATGAGTTCCAAGATTAGGAGGCCCTAAGCACAGAAGGAAGTTCTAGGGTGAGGCAGCAATTGAGGCATGATAACAAAATCCAGAAGACTGGAAAAATTATTTCTATTTCCTGTTTTACTAGTAGTACTCAAACGTACTCAGACTTTCCTGGGAGGCAGATTTATATGACCACCTAACCTAAGCCAAAAGAAAGGTAGAAAATTTTTGTCTGATTTCAGCTCTTCAGATCCCCGAGGGGTAACGTGTGGGCCCACTGTGCTCTCTGAAGAAAAAGTCAAAATAGACGGCAAGGAATACCAAAAATATACAGCAGACTGCCAAGAGGTCAGCGCCTGCCCATCTGCTGAAGAAAGCCAGCCAATTGAGGTTGTCCTAGACGCTATTCAGAAGCACAAATATGAAAAATACACCAGCAGTTTCTTCGTAAGAGATATCAGTACGTTTTCTATTGATTTTTATGTTATCACTACTTTCAGAAATAACTGAACCCAAGAACCCTTGAAGCATAACATGTTCACAGGAGAAGTGAAGCAAAATATAGTATTTTATTGCCTCTTTTACTGCCCTCCATGGCTTTTTTCAAGGTAGAAGTTGGTGGATGGGAATGGGCAATAGTCTAGATCTATGATTTAACTGGTATGGGGCAATTGTTAGAATACTGGACTTGGATTCAAGAAGACATGGGTTCAAATTCTGACTCAACTACTTAGAGGATTGTTGTGAGAATCAAGTGAGATAATGTTTGCAAAGTGCTTAGCACATAGTAGGTGCTATATAAATGTTGGTGGTGATGATGATGATAATTACTAGCTGTGTGACCCTGGGTAAATTAAATCACTTAACCTCAGTTTCTTCATTTGTAGAATGATGGGCTTGGATTTAATGGCCTCTTAAGTCCCTTCCAGCTCTAAATAAGACTCTAAGTGTAGCGGATAGAGTAAGAGAGGTAGAAAAATCATAGGGCATGTTTAGGGGATTGTCAGCTGAAGCATCTTGTTTGTTGGGGGAGGCATTACTATGTGCTAGGCACTAGAGATAACAAGGAAGGGCAAAACAAAAGTGTAACATGAGATAAAGCTAGAAAGTTAGCTCAGTGCTAGATGGCAAAGAGCTTTGAACAGCATGCAAAGGAGCTCAAAATTTACTTAGCAAGCAATAGGGAGCCACTGAAGATGGTTTACCAGAAGAGGAGCATGACCTATGCCAAACACAACTGAATCCTACTGCTTCATGTCTATTCCCTGAGCTATTGATGTGTTAAGAGAGCTTCAGAGAATCCAGATTTTCCTCAGGAAAATTAATGTTATCCCTTTTCTCTTCCATAGTCAAACCAGACCCACCCAGGAACCTTCGTGTCAAACCCTTAAAGAATTCTAGGACTGTGGAACTAAGTTGGGAGTATCCTGAGACCTGGAGTACACCACATTCCTATTTCCCACTAAATTTCATTGTTCAAGTTCATGGCAAGGGCAAGAAAGAAAAAGTAAGTTGGTTTGCTCTTCATTGTGCACTGTGGCACATAGATGAAAACTTAGCAACTTATTACTGCCTGTGCCTGTGGTATAAGGAAAGGTCTTAATTGAATCTCTCACCTATCAGTCTGTCCATTTACTGTGAATACCTCAGCAACACCGTCAATACGACAAGTAGCTGCGACCAGCACTTAGCACGCTGCCGGTTACGCAGCGGGTGCATTATTGTATAATACCAGCAGGTGGCATCATATCCCCACAGTTGACCGTATCTCCCACCGTCTAGCGTGCCCACTTGACACTGTAACATTTGTAGTTACAGTTTACGATACAACATGAACGACAGGTTGAAGACCATGCTTGGAGAAATAACGCTTCCTTTCCTACCCTTGTTCAATACTGAGTGGCTCGTCACAGAGTGTTAACAGATTGTTTTCTCCTTTGTTTGATCCAGAATAGCTTCACAGAAACAACCTCTGCTCAAGTTGAATGTCACAAGGGGAAGAGGATTCAGGTGCAGGCCATCGATCGCTACTATAATTCATTCCGGAGCAATTGGGCATCTGTGTCCTGTGAGTAGTGCATGAAATAGTACTATGTTCTGTTAACTTCTGCACCAAAAAAAAAAAAATGCAAAGACAGGGAATGAAGCAAGGAAGTACAGACATAGGGAATGATGGGATAGCAGAGGGGAAAGAAAGGGATTTGGGAACAATACAAAGGGAGGAAGATAAAGGAATAAGGTTGGAGGAAAGAGAGATGTGGAAAAAAGAGGACATGAAGAGAGAAGTACCAGTTCCATGCTAGGCTCTCTCTGTGTTTAGCCGCTACTATGTAGCATCCTAGAGAGGGATATGAAAGCTAGGAAAAATCATACTGGGTCACCCAGAGTTTGGATATAAGTGAAGACAAGGGTGACTTTGAAGGAAAAAGAAAGAAGAGATGGGACAAAAAGGCAATACCCAACCTAAGTGATAAGTGGAAGGGAAGAGAGGGACTTTATCACCAGTCAGTCCAGGTCCCCCACAGCCCTCCTTTGGACTTATTAACTTTATTTTTAAAATTCAATTTAATTCTGTTTTCGTTTTCTTTTGGAGAATGGGTGGCCCTATCTCACCCAGGCTAGAAGGATAAGAGCCACTCACAGGCCAGTCCCATCCACCTGGGAGTTTTGACCAGCTCCACTTCTGTCCTGGGCTGGTTAGCCCTTTTTAAGCAGCCTGGAAGCCCTCTGCACCAGATTTAGGGTGGACACTCAACTGGCTTGATAAGCCCACTGCTATCACCTCAGAACTGCAGAGCCAAGGCGTAGATCTGTGTTTTAGGAGTGTTCAAGGTTAACTGTTCATTTTTAAACACAAACTCATAGAACCACCTTGTCCTGAGCCCACTGATTTCTCGTAGTTGGCCCAGAAAGCTTTGCAAGGGCTCCTCAAAGTATAGGACTCCAGGGTGATTACCCCAATTTGCCAAACCATAATCTCAGCCCTCAAGCACAAATCCAGGGCACATAAGGAAAATCTGATATTGGGCTCCTAAATAAGAATTGTTCAAGGTTTTAGAGCTCCAGGAAGCTGTTTTGTTTGAAAATAGGAGTAAAGTGATACTACAGTTGGCAGTATAACTACATTTCTGGCCTTCTCCCACAGGTTAAGCTCCCATGATACTACATGGGATGAAGAGAAGAAATGATGCAAACGTGAAAAAAAAGAATCAAGTGAAATGAAATGTGAATGTCATCTGTCAATTTTCTTTTATTTTTATTTTTCATGGATTATGATTTATTTTTTTATATTTCAGTTCCCAGATGCTCAATGAACCAAACAACCAGTTAATTTGAGGTAAAAAAAATCAATCAGTATTTATTTAGCTTGATACCTTTTATTTATTTATTTATTCATTTATTTATTTGAAATTGGGTCTCCGCATCTCCCCCAAGGCTGGAAAGGCAGTGGCCACTTATGGGCCTGATCTCACTGCTGCTGGGCTCAGAAGCTTTGACTCTCTCTGTTACTGACCTGGGCTGGTTTGCCCTTTCTTTGGCAGTCTAGGAACACCACTGCACCCCAACTTGAAGGGGCTTGGTGCCAGGTTTAGTGCTAACAGTCAATCCTCTTTAACCTTCCTGAGTCTCAGAACTGCTAAGCTCATAGGAACCGTCTGCCTCAGCCTCCCTAGCAGTGGGGATTGCATGTGTGGCCCTTGATATCTTTATAGCCTATCTGTTTGGAACTAACTTTTGTATTTAAAATAATTTTACATATTTGTTAATTTATTACTCTTATTTAACATCAAATTTGTGAATATACGTCCATCCAAGGACCAGCTTTTCAAAATTCAAAGTAGCTCATCACCAGAGTGAAGGCCAGCCAAGGTGGTCAGTGACTCAAGAATGTCTGCAACTAAGACATAGAAGAGTTGCAATCTGCATCAGTGAAGGGATTATGATGAAACCATACTCCAGCAGTATTGAAGGGAGTATTTAACATTTGTAGAGTGCCCAAGTATTTGTGTATTTTTCTTATTTATATGTGACATTCATTGAGAATGTATCCTTTTATGCAAAATGTGAATTGGAGTGCTATTTCTGCCAGATTTTGTTTGTATTGAAACTTTTTTAAAATGCATCAGTTTTATGATAATTAGTAAGAACATAATGTTCTGGACTTTGCCACACACACACACACACACACACACACACACACAAAAAGGCAAATGGAGTAATATATCTTTGAGAGATGGAAAGATTTAACGATCAGTAACTAGATACAAAGACAACATATCTAATGAGACCCTGGAGAAGGAGATCTATTTCCTGTACTCAGCCCTATTTCCTGATATCAGACTGTATTTCTCATGCATGCTTTTTTAAAAAAGACTAACATTGAAATTCAGTAGGGCCTGACATGTCCAAGCACAACCTTTCAGTGCCCAGATTACTATTTATTTGCAAAAGTGATGCTGCCAGAGCAGATATTAAGCTTCTAACTTCCCATGAAGTCTAATTGCCACCCAGTATTAAAGAAGAACTAGACATAAGTAGGATGTAAGACTGCAAAAGTCTTAGGAAAAATGTCCTTACATTGCCTATAAAGGATGTTTTAAATCAGATGAGAGGAAAGATGCTATGATTGTTGAGACTCTCTTGCTAACAGCAAGACCAAGGCAATGATGACTGAACATTATATCGACTGAGACGAGCATGATCTTTTCTGCTGAAACAAGGAAATGAGGACTAGTTTCCCATTTGGGCCAAAGAGAAAGAAAATCAATATGTTTACATTATTCTTAAGCTTACCTTTGAAATCTCAAAAACGATTCTGCAACATAGGAAAACATAAGCCAGAACTATTCTGTGTGGATAGAGATGTAGAAAGGGGATGACGCTGAACTGAAACAGAGAAAAGAAAAAATAAACTAAGACCCACACATCTATCCTCCCATGTGAAACTGTTTGTTGGGATACCAAACTTTATTGTGAAAATGCACAAATAAACCTGTGAGAAAATTTTGTTTTGTTCTTCAGGGAACAGCCCAATGTCATCAATGTAACTGATATTTAGATATGGACCTTATCTGGCTATATGCTTCTTTTCAGTGCAATGAACATGACTTTTGAAATAAAATAATTAAATTTATTTATTTATTTATTAATATTTATGTGATAAGCCTGAACTAATAATAAAAATTCCTTTGCAAAATCTTCTGAGCTGAGGGTTGATTTGTTAGGCTAGCACCAATGGGTGTGCGTGTGTGTGTGTGCACGTGTGTGTGTGTGTGTGTGTGTGTGGTTTTTCAGGAACTTCTCTTTCATGAAATATATTTGTTTACAGCTTAAGAAAGTTACCTTTAGATTGGGCGGAGCCAAGATGGCTGAGTGAAAGCAGTGACTTGCTTGAGCTCTCCCCCAAACCCCTTCAAATACTCATGAAAAATGACTCTAAACAAATTCTGAAGCAGCAGAACCCACAAAAAGACAGAGTGAAACAAATTTCCAGCCCAAGACAACCTGGATGATTGATCAGAAAGGTGTATCATGCCAGGCTGGGCTGCGTGGGCGCAGGCTGCAGTGAACCTGGAGCAGGCCTCAGAGGACTGAATCGTAGGCAGCTGTAGAGGTTTCCAGACTCCTCAATCCACCAATGCCAAAGACAATTTAGAAGGTCAGTGGGAAAAGTCTGTTTCTGTCGGTGCTGAGACAGGAAGGTGGGGTTTCAGCTCCATTCCCCTGGGGGGGCAGCTGCTTCCCAAGCTTCTGCCCACAGACTGAGGGGGAATCCAGTGGCTGATCAGAGAGGGATTGCAGGGATCTCTTTGCCAGTGCTGAGGCAGGAATCTCTTGCTTTGCCCATGATTGGATCTGGGTCACAGTTCTAGCGGCAGTGCTGGGGTGAGGAAGAACGCTGGTGCTGGCATGGTGGAGCTTGGAGTGGCTGTGGAGAGGAACCCTTCCTCACAGTTACAGGACAGAAAGGAATATTTGTGGTCACAGGCCAGGAAAGGAGTAAACACCTCGCCCCTTATCATACCACCTTGGAAGAACTGAAAATTTACAGGTCCCTACAAGTATCTCTGAAAACAGCTGTACAAACCCCTGAAGCTTGGGACAGTACACTCTCCACATTGGAAGCAGACTCTTACCTTAACAAAGAGTTTAAAACTCAAGTAATTGGCCGGGATCATGAGCAAGCAGTGCAAAAAGAGTCAGACCATAGAATCTTACTTTGGTGAAAAAGAAGATCAAAATATACAACCAGAAGACAACAAAGTCAAAGCTCCTACATCCAAAGCCTCCAAGAAAAATATGAATCAGTCCCAGGCCTTGGAAGAGCTCAAAAGGGATTTTGAGAAGCAAGTAAGGGAAGTAGAGGAAAAACTGGGAAGAGAAATGAGAGTGATGCAAGAAAATCATGAAAAACAAGTCAACAGCTTGCTAAAGGAGACCCAAAAAAATACTGAAGAAAATAACACCTTAAAAAACAGCCTAACCCAAATGGCAAAAGAGGTCCAAAAAGCCAATGAGGAGAAAAATGCCCTAAAAAGCAAAATTGGCCAAATGGAAAAGGAAGTCCAAAAGATTACTGAAGAAAATACTTCCTTAAAAATTAGAATAAGCAATTGGAAGCTAGTGACTTTATGAGAAATCAAGACACTGTAAAACAAATCCAAAAGAATGAAAAATTAGAAAACAATGTGAAATATCTCATTGGAAAAACAACTGACCTGGAAAATAGATCCAGGAGAGAGAATTTAAAAATTATTGGACTATCTGAAAGCCATGATCAAAAAAAGAGCCTAGACATCATCTTTCAAGAAATTATCAAGGAAAACTGCCCTGATATATTAGAACCAGAGGGCAAAATAGAAATTGAAAGAATCCACAGATCTCCTCCTGAAAGAGATCCCCAAAGGAAAACTCCTAGGAATATTATAGCCAAATTCCAGAGTTCCCAGGTCAAGGAGAAAATATTACAAGCTGCCAGAAGGAAACAATTCAAGTACTGTGGAAACATAATCAGGATAACACAAGATTTAGCAGCTTCTACATTAAAGGACTGCAGGGCATGGAATGAATATAATATCCTGGAGGGCAAAGGAGAATAGGATTACAATCACCTACCCAGCAAAACTGAGTATAATCCTTCAGGGGAAAAAATCATTATTCAGTGAAATAGAGGACTTTCAAGCATTCTTGATGAAAAGACCAGAGCTGAATAGAAAATTTGACTTTCAAATACAGGACTCAAGTGGAACATGAAGAGGTGAACAGGAAAGAGAAATCATAAGAGACTTATTAAGATTGAACTGTTTACATTCCTGCATGGAAAGATGATATTTATAACTCACGAGACCTTTGTCAGTATTAGGGTAGTTAGAGGAAAAAAATTAGATAGATAGACAGAGGGCACAGGGTGAGTTGAAGATTAAGGGGTCATATCTGGAGAATAAAATTAAGGGATGAGAGAGGATTATACTCAGAGAAGAAGAAAGGGAGAGGTAAAATGGGGTAAATTATCTCACAAAAAAACAGAAAAGAAAAGTCTCTTGCAGTGGAGGGGAAACAGGGGAAGAAATGAGTGAATCTTATTCTCATAGGATTTGGCTTAAGGAGGGAATAACATATACAATTCAATTGGGTATGGAAATCTGTCTTACCCTACAGGAAAATAGGGGGAGAAGGGGACAAGAGAGCAGGGGGATGATAGAGAGGAGGGCAGATTGGGAAAGGGGTTAATCAGAAGTAAATACTTCTGAGGAGGGCCAGGGTCAAAAGAAAGAATAGAATAAATGGGAGGGCAGGATAGGATTAAGGGAAATAGAGTTAGTTTTTCACAACATGTCTACTGAGGAAGTGTTTTGCATAACTGCACATGTACAACCTATATTGAGTTGCTTGCCTTTTCAATGAGGGTGGGTGGGGAGGGAGGAAGGGAAAAAATTTGAAACCTAAAGTTTTAAAAACATATGTTTTAAAAAAAGTTTTCACATGCTACTGGGAAATAAGAAATACAGGAAATGGGGTACAGAAGTCTGTCCTGCCCTATAGGAAAATAGAGGGGGAAGGGGATAAAAGAAGGGGAGAGAGATAGAAGAGAGGACAGACTAGGGGAAGGGATATTCAGAATGCATTCCATCTTGGGGTGGGGGAAGGGGGGAGATGGGGTGAAAATTTGGAATTCAAAAACTTGTGGGAGTGAATGTTGAAAACTAAAAATAAATACATTTATATTTTTTAAAAAAAAGAAAGTTACCTTTATTCTTTCTAATCTAGCTTCATGAGCCATCTCATGAGCTCATGAGCTGTCCCTGTGACCTAATAGGAGTAAAAAAGAAAGTTCTAGGGGCAACTAGGTGGTGCAGTGGATAGAGCACCAGCCCTGACATCAGGAGGACCTGGGTTCAAATCTGGCCTCAGACCAAACACTTAATACTTATTAGTGTGTGACCCTGGGCAAGTCACTTAACCCCAACTGCCTGGAAGAAAAAAAAAAGAATTCCTAGTAAGGCTGCTGGATTTGTTATGTTTTATTTCTGTGATTCAGATATCCCTTCTTGTTCACTTCCCACTTTTTCTATCATAAAATAATAATAAAAAAACTATCCTGAGAGAATCACAGGCACTCTTTTTAATGAAGAATGATCTCTTTAAAAAATTGAATTTAAAAATTTCAATTAACAAAAATTTATTTTTTCTCCCTACTACTCCTCTATCATGAAAGAGAGAAAAAGAGAAAGGGGGGAAAAAGAAAGCTCTTGCAACAAATACACAGTTCAGCAAAGAGATTCCTTTATTACTGCGTCCGAAAGTTTTTTTCTCATTCTGCCCTTGAATACATTACTTCTCTGTCAAGTGGTACGCTTCATTGGTGACGCTCTGGAATCAGGGTTGGTCATCACATTAATCAGAGTTCTTGCAGCTTTCTAGGTTGTTAGTTTGGGGCATTTTTGTTGTACAAATTATTCTCAAGTGGTGCTCACTTGACTCTGCATCAATCCATAAGTCTTCCCAGATTTCTCTGAAACCATCCTCTTTTTTTAATTTCCTATGGCATAAGGATGGTCCATTATATTCCTATATCTTAATTTGTTTAGCTGATCCCTAATTGATGGGTACCCTCTTACTTTCCCATTCTTTGCTACCACAAAAGGGCTGCTATAAATATTTTTGTACCTCTGGGTATGTTTCCTCTTTCTTTGATCTCTTTGGGATAGAGGCCTAGTAGTGGTATTGCTGAGACAAAAGATGTGTACAATTCCATAAGTTTGGGGGCATTGTTCCAGATCGCTTTCCAGATGTGTGGGACCGATTCACAGCTCCAGCAACAGTGCATTAATGTCTCTATTTTTCTTTCACCCCTTTGGACAATTTAGTCATCTTCTTTTTTTTGTCATTTTTATTCATCTTCTGGAAGGGAGGAAGGAGGATGATCTCTCAATCCAACCATAATGCTTGGGACACGCGTAGTCCTAAGAACAATGGATTCAAAGCCAAGTACCTGATTTCTGATCCTGGGCATGCTATTTGCAGCCAATGAGGTCACTTCAAAGGTCACTTTACCTTTGTGAGCCTTGCTTTCCTCGACTGTAAAGTGAAAGAATTCGACCAGATTCTCTCTGAATTCCTCTTCAGATCTAGCTCTTGTGAACTATACTAAGGAAGGCAGCTTGGCGCAATAGAAAGAGCACTAATCTATAGTCAGAGGAATTGAGTTCAAATTCCATCTCTGATGCTTACTTCATCACCCTGGGCCTCAGTTTCCTCATCTGTAAAATGAAGATAGCCTCTAAGGTCCCTTCAAGCTCTAGACTTATGAGCTTATTACATGCCTAGAAATATGTTCCCATTTGGGGATTTTTTTTAACTTAGACTATAACACAATTTCTGCCGTCACTGACTTTTTATGTTATAGGAGAAGCAACATCTGTACAGATGAAAGGTAAGAGAAGTCAGTACATAATATGGAATTAAACTGAATATAATCAGAAAATGAAAGCTATGGACAAGCACAAAGAGAAAAAAAAATTACTTAACCTTTCTAGACCTCAGATTCATCATCTGGTATAAAATGAGACAACTGAACGAAATGGCTCCTAAGGACGCCTTGGGGC